GTTTTTTAATGAACACCAATGGGTTTGTATTTAACTGCTCTCCAATGATTAATTCTCCAGATTTTTGGTCGTGTATTAGAGAAATCCTTATCACAATATCAAAATGATTCTTTACGTGTCTCTCAAGACAATAACGGACATAGGAATTTTTTAAGGCCATGTGACTTGGTGTACTTCGACCCAGTGTATAAGTCCACGTTCGGCTTCCTGAACATTGCATCGTATAACACGAGGCCAACACGTTCGAGTATTTCCGTTTTGGTTCGGACATCAAAGGCCCCAATAGATTCCGAAGCCATGGGCAGAGCCGAAGCCGAAGAAAAATTCCACATTTCGCAAAAGCCCCAATGTGTCTTGCGTCCTTGCTCGACGGTCCATTCATTTTCATCTTGCCTCCTCCCGAATTCCCAACCTCCTCGTTCCAAATTGATTGAGCTTGCCAACCCCTCTCCCCTTCATTCCTCCAAACCTATGCATGCCAAGTGCCGCTAGAGACCCTTCCTTCAAATCCACCCGAACGCTCCCTCAAAACTTCTGCATTTCTAATTAAATCCCCCAAAATCCATAATGCATCGACCATTTTTTATGATTAATGAGTCATAATACGTGTTCCCACACAGTCACTCTTCAGAGGAATTCGTTTGTTCTCAGTCCGATTTTCATCTGAATTTTAACCGGCAGCTCTCTGGGGGATTTTACAAACACACATCGGGGGACGAGTCGGGATACCCGACCGAGCGTTTTGGAAGGGTTGTGTGTATAAAGAGAGGCGCATTATTCGAGATTATATACAGCGCAGCCCGTGCTGCGCCACGCCACCGTGCAAAACTTCCCATCTGCCGGTATCGGTGGACCACTTTTGCGCGCTAAAGTGTTTTCGCGCCCTGGCACCGGCGAAAGGGGCTTTCGGCTCAAAATCTTCCCTAATCCTTGCTGCAGATAACACACTTTAGTGCTCGCACCGCCTCAGTGTCACAACTCGAAATCGCAAGGCGCTGGAAAGGCTCTAAGATGTTTCAAGTTTAGTCTACCCTTTTAAGCATAAATTTGTGTAGTGTAGCGAGGATATAGAACATGCATAAGAATGAAAATCATAATATTTCATTACTGGATACACTCTTGCCTATTGATTCTGAAAAAAAAATGAAAAGTCGTCAGTTCAAATGGATAGCCTTTGATACGCATTGGAGAAGGAGTCCCTTGACACATTGGTCCACATGTTTTTTGGCCAGAAGGGTTTGTAAAGATTGCGTCTGCTCCAAATAATAACTCGTCATAATCTTGACATCTTTCAAAGCTTTCATATTCAAAAAAAAAATTCCCCAACTGCATGTTCCCTATCATCCACCTGTCAGCGTCTGAAGACAAAAAAAAACCGTAAATGCCCTTCGATTTCTCCCCGTATTATGATCCGCCTGCCTCGGACAAAAATCCGCGGTCTTCACGACCACTTGATTCCAACAGGAAAGATGATTTTGAACTTCGATTTTTGTAGCCGTCCGCCGGGACACGAACTGTGGAAAATTATAGCCGCGGCAGTGGGGTGGCTTACCGTAGAGATTGCAAACGGAGACAGCTGTTGGCCACGATCGCATTCCAATAAATTCAGACAGAGGAAGATGAAAAAAAAAAGGAAAGCAGAGAAAAACTAGATGACGGGTAGAAAATTGGTAAAAATCAGATTATGGGTGTTTATTATGATATGTCAACGGCAGGCACGTTTGGTTCGTTCCCGGTTCGGCGTCAAAAATGCGCCGCATGGAAACAAGCGCCGTATACACGGGTTTCTTGTTGTGCAATTTGATTCTTAGTTCGCGCGATTATTATGCGCCACCTTCAAGAGGACGAAATCACCAACTTGATGTTAGAGTCACGACTTCTTATTGGAAGATGAGTTTTCTGGCATCAAATATGATCAGGTGGAAAGTATAGGGTGAGTGCAGCATTTGCGAAGCAGATGAGGACCAAATCACCCAGGCGCCGACACCATGCGATCTCAATATATCGCGACAACAAAGTTGCTCGTTCCCATTTGACATCACCCGATATAGTCCCACAAAGCAACATGGCGGCCGCCATATGATTACCTGGAGATCCCCGTGGTAACCGAGTCTTACTCCGATGACAAAGTTGCCGGATTGCTCTTTCTTTATAATCTGCCGACGCCTAGGCCAATTCTCCCCCCTCTGAAATCTAAGGTTAGTGCCGGTCTCCCTCTTGGTCAGCGATCGGTTTGCCTTGGGCGTTATATCATGGACAAGGTTTGAGCTTATGGCATATCACAGGAGAGATATATAACATGTCTGGGACGAGCCTAGGTCATATATTATTCCGTGATATGGGTCAATCCATACTGACGAGGGACATGTTCATATATCGAAAATATCTCGAACCGGATTGACCTTTCAACATCTGGGGAGCGGAATAGATCAAAATGTTAAGCTGTGGCAGTAACCACTATTTATGAATATACTTGACCCATATTTTGAATCCGACAATAAAATGTGGAAATGTTTCTGTCAGTGTGAGATGGCTATAATAGGGTACAATGTCCTCAGCCGGCGCGCAGCATGCCTTCTGCTAATTTTTTGGAGGAAGTTTTGACAAAGGAAATTGAGAAAAGTGAGTCAGAAAGCAACCATGTACAGGTGGGACGGCTGGGCAGGAAGGGCTGATTGTCTCTGCGGCTTGACAAAGATGGATCTAGGATGGCGGGAAAAATGTCACTGCAAAATTGTTTTCAGGTGCGATTTTTGGACCCTAATCGTTCATGCTGGGGAACAGGTTGACAAGGGGACGCCGGGATGTCAAACTCAAAATTCGCTGTCAGCCGGACAGCTTTTACGCTGGCGCACGTCACCTAAACACACGAGACACGCCATTTTCTTAAAAATATACTCAGTGGAACCAATCAAAGAGAGGTCACTGCGCATGCGCATTGCAATCTAGGTAGACTGCGCTCAACCAGCATGGATTCTTCTTCGAAAAAAAAAAAACCCAAAGAAACCCGCAAATACTCGACAAAAAAACAGAATATAACCCTCAAACATAGAATAGAGTACCAAACCTTTCAATTGTCTCCATGTGTTGAGAAGGTCAGTGTACTGCGCACGTGTCATTGCGCAGCTTACTTGACCGGTGTAAACCAGTTCAGTCTATAATTGTTCATGAGTCTTCAGGGCCAATGTTACAGTGCTTATTATAACCAGTCCACTGTAGCAAACTGTTTAAATCCATTCCCGTATGTGAAACTCATCCTTCCCTCAAACTATACCCGAAATAAAAAAAAAGTAGCGCACATCCATTATGTATGTATTTGAGCCCAAAGCATTTCCCTTCTCAACCCCCCCCCCCCCCTCTCCTTTTCATTCCACTGTACTGGTCGTTGCCTCGTGCTGTTTCATATTTTTGAAATCCCGGTCCGTCTTTCATCAACCTAAAATTGTTGGCTGGCTTTAGGATAAGGGGAACGGTGGCCCTTAAGCCAGGCCGTAAATCACAGCGCGAGTCGCCTCTAACCAAGCGCCCTGATTGATCCGCTGTTCCTCTGCGCAGCACGCCGGTCGTGGTCGGGCCAGTAATTGCTGAGCTTATATGCGGTGTGTGTTCGCGCTTTGACATAATGAATCATCAGCGTGAACCTGTGTTAATCAAACTCAAACGCTCCATTGATACAGTGCAATCCGCAGTTCATGGGCGAGGGTCAGCGGAACCAAAAGCATTGTCCTCTCTTCAGAGTAATCGCTGTTGCAACTCTTCTCTCTTCGTATAGCAGAAATAAAAATGACTCTGTCAGTTTTCTGCCATTGATGGGACTGTTAGCCGGAAGTACATTCATCATTTTCTCAGTTGCGACGATATCTTAGGATCTATTGTGTGTGTAGTGTGTACCTTTACCAAGCGTGCAGGTATCTTTATAAAGACAAAAGGTTGTTCAACTTATACCTCTTTTGTTTCCATAATTGCAATTTTTTTTACTTGGGAATGTAAAAAAATGGGAATGTAAAAAAAACTTCTATTATTGCGGAGCTTATATAAAAAGAAGGTATCCAATTGCTATCTATCGGTGTATAGGAGTGAGCACGCATTTTCTTTTCTCAACGAACAATGACGTCATTGAAATCGGAATCAATCATGAGAAGAACAGGACACTCGTCTGTCTTCGGTCTGGAAAGCGCACTGGAAGTCACGGTGTCGTCTAGGGACACGACTTCCTATAGGAGTTTCCGCGTTGGATCTGTGTGCACGTGTCGAGGTCCCCGCCGATAATTGACTGCAGTGAATAATTGTCAAGTTTTGCGAGGCTGGCCAGGAAACGGCAGAGGAAAAAGTGAATTTATCTTTGGATTTGAGAAAAGTAAACCTTCCTAAATGGTGCGTAAATGTTTGACCAGGTGCGGGACGTGACGGCGTGTGTGGGTGTGTGAACGAGGTGGCATTGACGTGATCCGTCCGGGGTCACTGAATCTATGAATATAAAACTGTCAGCTTGGGATCGAGGTTGATTTATATGAAACTGGTTGAGACTTGGTAACCATATCAATTATCAGTCACTAAATTGTGCGGAGTACTAGTCACAACCAATCAAACCTAACTGCGTGTCACTCATCAGAATAGCACTCATCATATTGATATCATTTTATGAGTTGGATTAGATTTATCGTGCGAGTCACGTGCACTTATTGCGCTGTCACCGTTTCATAAAAATGTATAGTAGGCAAAAGTAGGCAAAATTCAATTTCCAATTCTGTTAAAACACAGACCTGCTGACAGCTTTTCGATAATTGATGACCTTCTGCCAAATCGTTTTCCAATAAGCAAGCGATGAATTTCTGAATTTCAGTACTTGTAAGCTTAAAAAAATTCAAGCATGATGTCTTTCAATTCCCCCCAAGAACTTTTTTTTTGAAAAACTTCACCCGATCTGATTTAGAAACAAGTTGAGTACCAAGAAGTAAAGCGGATGGCGCGTTCTTTTTTGTTTTATTCCCAATGTTCAGAGAAGCCACACATGCGGTATTGACGTCCTCCGAACGGTTCCTTGGTACATGGAGACGTCAGAGTCTTACAAGGTTAGACACTCAAATCTCTTCATTTTTTTCAATAAGGAAATCGGGAACTTTTCCCCAACTTTGGTGATGGGTAGCCTGATATTTTCTTAAAATCAAAGTCACTTTTTTTTTAGTTGTAGAATATTGCAAGTGGAGTTGGATCACATGTAATAATGCAATCGCGTACAAAATTATTGAGGGCAGTGAGTTGTAATGTCGTCGACAGGTTGGATGCCGTTGTGGTGTTGAGGCATGTCTTAACGTGTGTTGCGTTCCGGGCGACGAGTCCTAACCGTTTGCGAACAAGGGTCGTTTCGAAATTTCGGTCTCAATCCGGTTCGGCTTCATCCATGTCTCCATGGTGTAGAGGCTTTAGAAGGACATTATATGGAAACATCCTCAACTGTGGTCTCGTATCAAAGGCTTTGATGTTCTTGAAGCACATTGTTGAAAATGGTCTAATTATGAGTTGGAGTTCACCCAGGTCAAGGGCCTAAAAGTCTCCTTTAGCCGCAGCCTGAGCGAAGCCGAGGTCTCGAAAAACGTCCCCTGACTATGCCCTGTGTAATGAACGGGAGAGCCCGACTATGAATACCGGCCGTGTGCGAACATCTCGTTCTTTCCCATGCAGCGTCATGAAATATTGTCGTTTCTTTCTATTGCGGTTCGCTGTAAAACACGTCAGCTGTGAATATACGGGATGTGAGTTGTGTGAATATACGGGAAACAAAAAACGGTCAGGTTGGTCGTGATATTGTGTTCCATTCAGCTTAAAAAATGAAACTGCCAAAATTTGATATTTTTGTTTGTTCAACTGTGGAAGTTGCCCTCGTTGAATGAAACTTTAAAAAACGGGTCAATGGTTTGATACCAACGTGCCTGGTTACAAGCTACTCGCACGGACGTATATACTGGGCCATGTGGCGTGCGGGATACCAGACGAATGCGCAAAAATGCTAACAAACCAAATATATTACCCAACCTGGTTGCGTAATTTTTATTCCTAGGAGGGTTAGGGGCAATGTCATGAATAATTCATGTTTATCCATGAGAACGGACAATGACATCAACAGCATTGTTGTTAGTTACTCAACTAGTTACAATACATTAAAGCATTTCAAAGAACGGTTGTCGTCGAGCTACCACACAGTAGCCTAGTGGATAGTGAGATGAGCTATGGATACAAAGATCCCTGGTTCGAATCCACGTCGTCGCTGCTCATTTGCATCAGCTATTTTTATTCTCCAAATTTATCACTGAGATAATTTTAAATTAAGAGGAAAATAGAACGAGAACCTAAGTCTTGCAATGATTCAAAGGAAAAACTGAATTATTCATGACATTGCCCCTAACCCTCCTAGGAAAAAAAATTACGCAACCTGGTTAAGGCTGCGATTTACGCCAGCACAGCCTATCCCGTCAATCCAGACGGAAGGGGTAAAGCATGAATGGGAAGGGGGATTTGGGGTATGTCTGATGGGACAATAAGAGGCGATCAGTCGCTTACAGTGCTCGGGAGCAGTCTGGTCTATAATGGTGTCTCCCTGGCCCCCTTCGCCTATTCACGGTATCCAATCAATCATTGTGAATCGTGACACTCAAGAGGACGGCTGTCTATGTGTAAATACGTGCTTATAGTATATGTGCCATCTAATTCTGACATCAATTGTCAAAAACTCTAAATCAGACAAAATTGCCAACCAAAAATCACATATTTTGGCTCATTTCTTTGAAGTATTTCAAACACAGTAAATATCGATTCATCAGATGGAATTTTGCGTCGGGGTGATGTATATCAATATAAGGTTTTGCCCTTCACCGACATATAAACACTGTTTACTCAGTATACCTCCCAAGTGAAAGTTGTTTGGTCATTCTGCAAACCTTACTGTCAAATAACGATAGTAAAATCTTGAAGAGATCACAGGGTCAAGCCTCATGATGTGTTTCGTCAATCAATGTAAACAAAGTGTTTATATCGGCCATCTTGGGGGCAACTACTTTGAAGAATACCCTCCAAGATGGCCGCTTTGCGAAAGGCCTGTATCCAGACTTGAGACCAGAAGGAGCAGTTTCAGAGGCAAGGCTTCCGACTTTTGGCCATTAATTTACCTGTCGTTCTGTTGGTTGAAACCCTGACTTCCCGAGATTGTATGAATGGTAAGACAGCACGCCGTAATGCTCCAGAATGTGTACTTTGCACGGCACAGTCTTTCTTCCCAGTGTGACCAGCGTATAGGACAACTGGGGGGAAAGAGAGATAGGGACGGGGGAATGTCTTGCCGAGTGTCAGCGGCCATGTTAATGCCTTCCGTTTTGGATTGCCTCGGTAAGCCTCTCGGATGCAGCTAAGACAAACCCGGTCGGAGCTGGCTGGGTTTTTTGCTCCAGACCTCATGAATCATTATCCTCAGTCGGCCGTCCCAAAGCAAAGCACTTCTTCTGCAGTCATTGGCTGACCTACTTATTACACTGCTGATTGCTGATTGGCTCGCCGATCACCGTCATTTGCATAAATATTGCTCTATCCTTTCATTAGCTTATTATGCATTTCTCATTAACTCATTATTTATTGTTCATTTTTTCGTCCATGTTAATATTTTAAAAAATGATTACCACAGGAAAATTCAAAAGGAATTAATGATGTATTTTTGCATGAATTTAAAAAAAAAAAATTTTGGAAAAAGTGCAAGTCACTTATCATAGGCTGTCAACAATGATTTGCAAATGTAATGTTCCGCGTATGACTTGTTTACCTCTGAAAATCAAGGGTGAATTTTTTAAAACCAGTTTTAAAATACCACACGTTTATTGAACAGGAAGTTAACCTTCGATTGTCAATTATGTGTTTGATTGCTTAGGCTTTTCTGTTTGAGAAAAAAATCAGCACATAGCTACTCCTTTGGGATACGTTTTTGGAATTATCTTTCTTGAGTAAGAGGTCTGGGTTAACTTAAGAGGAAAATCATAGTGGACATATCAAGTCGGTACACGAGTGGTTAAAAGAAGGGCTCGAAGAGCCTCTATCGATTAATAGATTGGTCGTAATCTGTAAGGAATTCGCTTCAATTCATATGCAAACTTGTTCACGTCCCGCAACAATGGTTACTGGTGAACTTTTTTACGAATCTTCGCGATCAACGCTTACATTTCTTGCTAACTGTACAGCTTAATCTTTAAAATGTTGAATACATTTTTCTGTTTGTCCACGAGTGCATCAGATAATCCAGGTTTTCCGTCATCAGTTCGGAATGATGTAACAATGGTTTAAGACGTGAACTGATTCTGTAGTCTTAGTGCAGTTACGAATTATGGAAACGTTTGTTGAAGGCTTTCTGTGGGGTGTGAAAATAAGGTGCTAGTTGATGTAACAGGAATGAATGCACTTGTTGGAAGCAGAACGGTTTTCGATCCCTGGAAAATATTGCTTAGGATTTGATACTATACATTGAAAGGGTATACAGTAACACTGCATATTCCCTCTATACGTTTGTGTTTACCACCGTCATTGAGTCGTGGTTGAGTAGCAGGGGCGGATCTAGCTTTCAGGAAAGGGGGGGGGCTGATACAAGGGGAGGGGGTTGAGTCTAAGGTGTACCGATGCTAGGGGGATCAGGGGCAAGCATGCCCCCGGAAATTTTGAAATCTACGATGCTTTCTCCTTCATTCTAAGGCCATTCAAGAATTAATTTAGGAACTTCAGCATTCCATTTATTGTTTTGGCCCTATTTTGCTAGTTTCATAACATGAGTCAGTGGCTGAAGGAGGGGGGGGGTGCCCAACCCACCCCTCCCCTCTAGATCCGCCACTGAGTGCCAAGAAGACAAGAAAGTTGGAAAGTGAGGGGAAGGTGCATATAATGTGGGGAAAAGGATTAGAGATGTTTTGATGAAGTCAAGAGATTGACTGTCTGCAATCGCTTCTTGTCCCATTCTTCTGTCGTCTCAACTTTTGATGTGGAGAGAGACCTTGAAAAAGGATGAAACTTCATTTATTTCCTCGCATCAACGGGGACCCTCAGTAATCACTCACAGGACCACCAGCCCCCTCGACCGTCCATCTACCGTAGGGAGTCCCCTTCCCCCATTTGCTCACAATTCAGGAGCATTTTTCAACCCCGGTCTTTTCACCACGGGAGTCTTTTATTTCCAGCCCCGAACAACGGCTTCTGCGACGTCTGCTGTCCCCAGAATTGTTCCTCGGTGAAATTGATTTAGACGGCAAAAGATAATCTTTCTGCAATTATGGGCATGTTTACAGCGGTGCAAAGTATAGGGCCCATTGTTGGCATTTTTCCCCTCTCTTCTAGGGAGGGTCTGCTGGTCCGCTAAACGGCCACCGCGTCTTAAGAAAACCGGGGGGATTTCTTGCAACTGAATTTGTTTACTGCTGCTTTTGGTGGTTTTTGGTGTTTATCCACCTGTTCGTTGAGGACAGGTTTTTTTTAATTGCCTGATCCTTGCCGCGTCAAAACGGCACCCATAATAGAAATAAATGGGACGTTGATAACTGTGTCACTGACAAATTTGAATGAAGCCCGAGATATTTTTTGTCTTCTTTGTAAATAATGGGATGTGGTCTGCTGGATTTTTCCCCTGTTATGTCTGTGTGCCTGGAGGGTTGAGTGAACTACGAATCGTCCGACACTGCACACGGCATTTTGCCAGCCCTGTGAAATTCATTGATCGTATAAATCCAGGGAGCTCCAACCGTGTTTTACGACAAGATTTTCTGAATGACGGACAAAAGTCCGGCATGGATTTTTTTCCCAAGCTACCCTCTCTTTCTCCGTCTCTTCTTCAAGAAGAAAAGCCTGACCAAATATCTGATCGACCCGCCGCAATCAGAAAAAGTCCCGGGAAAAAAGAGGCAAAAAAGACACGGAGAGCACCCTGGATCCTTTAGCGGGCCTGGGCCTCACCCCCTCGTGGGTCGAATTGCCTCTTTGTCCCGCGGAATGTATCGGCTTTTGTCCCGAAGTGTTTTCGAGGGCCTCGACTTCTTTTGAAGGAGAGCTGCTGCCGATCGATCACACCGCCTGAATATTCCATTGGTCCAATTACAATTAAAATATTTGATTTCTTGGAGGGTTGGTATATATATGCATGACTAGCAGCGTCCTGCAGCTCTCTGTTCCCTTGATCTGTTTGCCTTATACCACTACTCCCCCAAATATCTTAGATTTCTATCCCTGCCTGGCCCTTCTTATACCTCACTCCGCGAGCCTGAGAATCTCTTAAGATGACACGGCTGTTTGACACCACGAGTGTTATTGCAGGGAATCGAGATAGGTCGTCAGTGACTATATCCAGTAACTGTGGCAATCATTGCATTGCAAAGTGCAAACTCGGTGGCGCTCTCTGCCTACGATCGGGACCCACTGTCATCGAGCCAGCATTCTTAATAGACCGGTCATTAGACTAACATGCTAAGCAAGTTTCAGTCGAGGACCAATCACGAGTATTGCGTTATTATCGAACGACATGGCTGGTTGTTCTGTGCTAAGCCAATATTTCCTGGACTTAACAAAATGTCTTTGCTGAGCAGCCTTTATGGTAAAGACTGGTGCTCAACTAGCAGTAAGCATGTTTTATAAGCACGGCTGAACCGTGCGACTATTTAACTAAACCACATTTAAAATTGAGCAGACATTTTGGCTGGAGCGGAGTTGTGAACCTGGGACCTCCGGATTTCCATTGCGGTGCTCTACCAACTGAGCCATCCAGCCCTATGCTGGCGGTTCCCCATTTTGTCAATGTCTTTGTTCACGGTTACACACTAATGTTCTGACACACCGTACCTATGTTCCGACACCCCTATGTTCCGACTACACATATTCCTATCTCTAACCCTTACCCTAACCCTAAATACAGGGAGTACGGCAGACTTATGTGCGGGTTGTCGGAATATAGGGGTGTCGGAACATAGGGGTGTCGGAACATAGAGTGGTCACCTTTCTTCACAAGGGGCGCTTGAATAAGCTAAATCTATTTAAAGCAGATATTATTTGTTCCTCCCCCCATGCAAATAATTGGAACTAATTCGAGAACTAACACTAGCTTTCCCAAAAATCCATGCATGTAAACTGTAAACTGTGTACACATTGTTGGGTCAAGTTTCTTTCTGGGTTCTTCAAGTTCTGACGTGATACATTTATGGTGCGGTGTTTTGGCCGCGTGCCGTAACTTCGGACCACTACAACAAGCGCGCGACCGGGACAGTGCCTACAGCGTGCGGCTGATTTATCGCCCATATAACTACCACCTCGTAAAAACAACACAATTCGGCTAAATTCCCGCCGTAAATCTCGACTCTTAACTGGTGGCTGTAATTTATGGAGCATTGCTGCGTCACTTGACAAGTTGTCTGATGCGTTGGCTGGCGATTCAATGCACGAACGAGATCCCATGATCGAGTCAGGGGTTTTTTTTGGGGGGGGGGAGCGAGGATGTGGTTTTATTTAATTGTGGCATATCTGCGGTCATGTAGTGGGTGATGTGGATTGGTTTGACCATAGTATTTTTCGCATTTGAAATAGAACGTCTCGGTGTTTCCGGAGCCCAAGGCCGACGATTGAGCAGCAACAAAGAAATATGCTTAGTTAAGAAAATAATTGCTCACACACAAAAGCTACCAGTCAGGAAAAACTCCTTGTTGATTACAAAAACTGTTTACTTATTTCGTAATCGTTTTTAATCAAGTTGAAAGCTGTGTTTTTGTTTTTAGTTCAAATACCGGTAGTTGACAATCGGCAGCGGCCATTCTTACTTTCCGAGGATTCCCCTGAAACATGTTTGACAAGCTCATTCCCCAGTCTTGCCTAAACCATCAATTTAGCTTCTCCTGAACCTGTTACAACGAGTAACCGCAGAGCACCCTGCCTGTAGCGACACTTTCTTTTTTCTCTCTGAAAATAGTTTTCGCGCAGAAAGCCGTCACAGACCCTTCCCCACACACACACGCACTGCAGGTATCGTGGACAGTAGACATCCTACGTCATCAAGTTGAAGTTGCTGACCCTTGACCCCGACCCGTCTGGCGCACTGATTGCGTGCGTTTTATATTGTACTTGTATACCCGCCACGTCGGGTCGAAATTTCGGCGCGATTTCGGGGGTGAAGACAGACGAGCGCTCTAGGCACAGGGAGCATTTCTTTCCCAAGATCTGCTTCGTGAAAGACGAGCTTTGCCTCGGTTGGGTATCGGATGACAGTAGGCTCTTTCACGGATTCTCTTCGCAGTTCGATTGAGCCCAGGCTAAACCCCAGGGGTTGATGGGAAGGATATGTGTCGTCACCTCAACCAGGGTTTCACTTTTTTTGTAAACTTGATCGCAATTTGGTCAGCCATTTTGAAGGCGACCTTATTTTCTTTCGTAAGCTAACGGTGCATACAAATCGAGCAACAGGTTTCCGTTGTCAGATGTGCATTGGTGAAATTTATTTCCACCGCGATATAGATTTGAATAAAACAATATTTGTTATATATTGTTTTTTTGCAGGGAGCACATGACGATGGTTCTAATTATATACACGGCGATCATCACTCTTCAGTCATCAGAAAAGGTGAGTTTAAAATAATTACACGTAACTCGAAGAGCCGTACCTTTTTATGGCCAACAAATTTAAGCGTTGATTCGGACTCTTGAGGGCGCCCCAGGTGGCCTCATTCCCGTTTGAAATGATTGCATGTTACTGGCGCCATTGAGGTAAACGTATCATTTTGCCAAGGATCAAAGTTTACGTATAATTAATATTACGTGCCTTGATAGTGGTGTGCCCTTGGTCGACAGAGAGCGGCCTGACTAAAAATCACACACGTGGTACTTCACCGTGTGTATGACGTCACTTGGTAGTGCGGCGTCTCGTGACGTAACTTAGCAACAACGTAATCGATCCAAAATGGCTTCTTCAATTGTTGACATTTTTGTGCCAATCTCTATTTTTCTTGACCAAATTATTTCATGCATGTTATATAAGTTATACAATTTCTATCGGGATTTTCCATCATCAAGTCCTAGAGATGTTATTGTTGGCAGTTAGTAAAGAATATTGGCGATCATTTCGAGAGACGTTTTGAGGTAAAATTTGGTTAGAGTAAGTGCACACGTGATGGATGATGCTCTCTTTAATGTAGTACCTGTCCAAGATTAACCTGCTTTTGAACCAATTTGTGGTCGGTCACTCGAGAAAGCCTCAACATTTTCAAGTTTCGCACCAGCTTTGAGCCTGGACGGGTCTGTCTGTCACAAGGTTCAACTGGCCAGAAATTGGTCTTATGCATCTCTTGTTCCGTGAGCTCAGAGAGTCAGGTTCATCAGCTGGGGGATTACCGTGTTTATACTGCAAATGAAAATGAAAGCCAAGGGTTTTTGTGTGTGTGTGTGCCGTCGTGAAGAGTAACTGGCATCAAAGCAAGGAATAAGATGTGAAGCTGCGCCGGTGGTTTGTGTGAGTGATTCGTGTTCTGCATGCGAGCATTTAATTCCTCGTGCTGGGGGAACCCGCTATAGTGGAACGGGCCGGGACGATGCATGCAAATTACTCAAGACAGACGCAGCGTTTTATCAGGGATGATTTTGCCTAATTGTCGGCGAGGGAACCGTGGCGTCTGATAGCTTTTGCTCGGCGGGCCGATCGTACCTGCACTCCGGCACGCATAAACATGCCTACCTTGGCCCGTCATTTACCCGCTAACGAGCACTTGGCGAGAATCGGCCAGTCTTTATAATTTCTTTCCTTGTAATTTCAGCCCCCAAAAAACCACTAGAAATTGGTGCATGATTTGAGCCCAAATTGCCTTCAACCACGATTCATAATGCAGGTTTTTGATTGCTAAAACGTGTGCAGTGAAAAAGAATGAAGAAAAAAACTTTATTCAGACAAAACCTGACAATATTTAACATTTCATTTTATTTCAGAAACATTTATTTTCACATGAATAAGCACTTTAGAAAACCAGTGGAGACAAAAATGATAGCTCAAATATCAATGTCTGCGGCCTGGATTGTTAAAAAAATATATTCATACAATTTCAAGGATACTGAGCGTTTCATAAGTATTATTATTATTAGATTTTGTGAATAATTCATTGAAATGATTAAGCAAATGGGACATATAGGCCTAATGATATATTTATTATTTTGTAAATATTCATGTAATCCCGATATTGCTCTTGAAATTTCCATTAACATTTGGTATGTTGTTGTGTGGTAGTATTTTCATAATTGTCCCCTTTCCCATCTATATTTGATATCCTGCCACTACCCCAGCTGATTTTAATACATTATGATGTTTCTGGTGTCCCAGGTGTATGGTATCAAGTGCGTGGCATCCATTTTTCTACATTAACGTCCACTTGCATTTGTGTATACAAAAAAAAGAGAGAATATTATATATATATATATACCTGTCCCTGCCGATAATAATGTGCGAATCGGGCGTGAACTGCCGCGCAGAGTTACGTTAATTATTTAAAAGCGCCTTTCTCTCGTATGTAAGCTAATAACGTGTCCATGCTGACTCTCTCTCACACCACTACCACACACACACATACTGTGTTGTGTTGAATTAAATTAATCGGCTTGTAGTACGCCGTGTGCTGGAGTCTATCATGCATGGCCGGCCAATTCTCAGCCTTCCGTCCCCGGCCCAAACCGCGCGCTTTTCTCCCCGGTAGATGTCTCTCTCTTTTTTATCGCTGTACTTTTCAGGTCAACGGTCGTTTTTCTCTCGAAAAGAAAAAAAACCTCTCTGCTACCTTCATCGGGAGTGTATAAATATTATACTCTCCGTAATATCGAAGCAGAATTGATTTGAAGTGTGGGACAAATTGATTACTTGAATTTAATACAAACAAACAGGCGGGGGGAGAGGGGCTCGATTGCACGGTGGGGGCTGGTGGAGACAACCGACCGAGAAATTACTCTAAAATATTGACACCGAATGAGTTTCAAAAATTTGGCAAATACTCAAATACAAAACCTGCAATTTCAAGTCTGTAAAGAAAAAATAAACATAAATAGATACTATCAGTCATAGTTTATGTGAAAAGTAAAATCAACGTTTCGGCTACCGTATTTATTGAGTGATATTCTAATTGACCTATCGCAGTAGAATCGCGTTAGAATTGCGTCAACGCAGCTTGTGAAATATTGTCCAATAATATTACATGATATACAAATATACAAAATCCGAGGCAAACGAAATGTAGTGTACCAAAATTCCATGGGGTTGTCTAAGGGGCGTGTCTAACTCGAAAAGGGCAAGTTAATCATGACCGTCTAGCTATTTGTATTCATTTTTGAAGGATTCAATTTATTATCTCAAAAGTTCAGTATATGCCCTATATTACGAGGAAATTCCTTTTTCACATTTACAACAATTCAGTTTGTCTGAAAGCAAAAGTATCGGTCATTTTGTGCCGTTGAAAGCAGTCTGCAGTGAATTTGTGCTTGTCAATATTTTGAAGTAACTGTCGTTCACTCTGAAGTAATAACCGAACTACAATCTATTCCCAAACCTTCTAACAAGGCACTATGGCCTTATCCTCAGTCTGTAGTATTATTATATATTCATTAATCATAACCCGCTTCACATGGACAAAGGCAATATCTAGGTCTTTGGACTTCGCTGGCGGTGGCAATGCCCTGAGCTGACCCGTTTTGTTGGTCGATTGGTCCGCTGGTTCCATTGTTGGCTCGCTCAGGGCCAGGTAAATTGTAGTAAAAAAAAACTCACCTGCCAAAGTCTTTACCGCTTGGTCGCATCTGACTCTCTCGCTATGTGTTTTCCTGGGTTTGGCATTATTATGATTTGAAGCAGGATAATATATTGAAATAGGTGTGTATAGATTTGCATGAATGGCGTAGACTGAATGCCTTAGAATGTGCACAGCGAAATGTGATTGTTGGAGAATATGACAACAAAATTTGTCATAAATGTGCCACTGTGTTGCCTGATGAGGTCCCTTTCGTACAATGCTAAGTTCCTGGTGCTTTAGAAAACCACTCCTTCTCCATAGTCTTGCCGAACCTTTTGGTGTTTTGTGGAAGCTGTGTGTCTATTGGCAAATTGGGATGACGAATACTGTGGTTTTTTACGGCTCCGCCAATTTACCTGTGAACGCCTCGATCACAATGGGCCGAAGCTTACTTTACAATTTATGGCTTTCATCTTTCCACTTTTGCTGGGATACAGAAGAAAAAAAAAGCTTTATAATTAGGTCACCACAAACGAACTAGCAGCGCTTGTGTGGGTGCGTGTGCTTTGATGGCACTACCGAGGTTCCACTTTTCTTGTATTGTTCGGCGCTCCATAGTCAAAATATTGGGCTTGGATATTGCTGTTATTGCGCATGACATATGATTAACCAGCTATTGAAATACGCCATTGTATGAGTCGCCTTGTGCGCGCATCCACACAACCGACGTGTTTGATTTGCGCTTTCACGTGGACAAGAAATCAAAATATGAGCTTGATTATTCCAATTGCACGGATCTACGGAACAGGGGCTTCAATTTCTCTGCGAGGTTCTCGGTTTTTATCTTTTCCTTTTTGGGGGATAAAACGCCACTGATGATATCGGGTGAACACGAAACACAATCCTGCCAAATTAGGCAAGTTTGATTGGTGAGTTGCAGTGCATGCAACGCATTAGAGACAGCGGCTATTTTTTTTACATACCAAAGTGTGCTGGTAATTGGGGTTAGTATGCATATACACGGTTGTTTCTTATTCCAAAGGACCATCTTTTTTTTCAGAACCACACATACTCACAAAAGAGATTTACCACACGGTGCTACCGCAAACGATTTATCTTATTACCTTTTTCTCCATGCAAACCTTCAAATATCATCTGAACATATTTTTCGTTCTAATTTTTCTTTTGGCCGACAAAGGAGAAGCTTCCAAACACTCACTTTTCAGAACCCTTGCCATTTAATCTTTTACCCCTAAATTTGCCCGAGTGTAACCTTTATAAAACGTATGGATTATTTTGATTATACACCTTAATTCTTCGGTTGATTCGTAGAATCATTAACTTTGTTTTTACTGATGTTGTATATTTGACAAGAATTCAAATAATATGAATTCCATATTATGAAGTGCACAGATCATATATATTAGCCCCATAAGTCTGGAATAAACGACGGTCGGTATTGGTGGAGCTTTTTTTCGTGAATGTTTCACAAAACTGAAACGTTTTCTGTGAAATGCGCTGCGTTGTTTACGTCAGACGACAGTGTGAGACGTTCAGGAACTAGACCAGACAGTCCTACACTTGTTCGTCGTGAGGTAGCCCCTTTTCGGCGCGGGAAAGCAATAAAAAAGGACGTCAAATTTAAAAACAGCTCCATAGAATCGTGGGTCGTGCAGCAGTCGCGTCAGTCCGGGTTTTGGTTACAGTTTTCATTTTCATACAAACGGTTTCAGAATTTCCCATTAAGGGGTTGTTGTTCTTGCATGGCGGGTGTTATTCTAAGGCAAACGGAGTGGCCACTGCTCGAGATAAGGCTAACTCTATTATTACTTCTCACGTGGCACACGGGCAAGCAGCCGTTATC